TCATAGGTGGATAGATCTCATTGAGGAGGAGTGCTGCACACAAAAATGAAAACCGACCGTGCATAATTTTTCAGTTATTGCCCTTCGTTATTTTTCATACTAAATTTTTGTCCCAGAGTATAACTACAAAAGCCTTTGAGATATCAACATGAAACTTCATAGGTGTATAGATCTCACTCAGGAGGTGTGCAGTGCATAAGAGTGATAACTCTACCCTTCATAATTTTTGAGTTATTGCCCTTTGTTATTTTTCATACTAAATTTTTCATCTGAGTGGAGCATATCTCTAAAAAAGCTTTTGAAATGTCAACATGAAACTTCATAGGACGTGGATAGATCTTATTAAGGAGGAATGTTGTGCACAAGAATGTTAATTCTACCCTTTATAATTTTTGAGTTATTGACATTTGTTATTTTTCATACTTTTTGTCCGGAGCTTATCTCAAAAGTGTTAGAGGAAATAACTTGAAACTTCATAGGTGGATAGATCTCATTGAGGAGGAGTGCAGCACACAAGAATGAAAACCTACCGTGCATTGTTTTTCAGTTATTGCCCTTTGTTATTTTTCATACTTAATTTTTGTCCCAGAGTATAATTACAAAGGCCTTTGAGATATCAACATGAACCTGATCACATCCGTGTTATATGTGCCGTGTGGCGGCTGTAAAAAGTCTCCCCGTACATTTAATCAATGATGTTATATTTTCGATCCTTGAAGATCGTTCAGCACGACATTATTGTTGTGCTTGTGGTATTTTTAGTTTCAACTTTTCGGCATTTTCTAATTGGGTGGTTCCAATATTCCTACTTGAATAATGTTGAATCACCCTTGGGATATGTTGCCTGCTTTTTAAATTTGTCTTTTGACGTCTTATCTGTGATACGGAGGCTTCATAACCTCTGATCCCCTTTCAAAATTCCATTTTATTTAGTTCCACCCATTGTTTTCTCGTTTAGGGCAAAAGCTTTCTTTTACTTGGGGACCATACGCCGCTTTTCATGGAATGGCACGACTGTGTCACATTGAAGGTTCCATGATAACCGCCGTATGAACACATCTGCGGATGTTTCTAAATTCAAAATTTCACCATTTTCGTGTTAGATGTTGAATTCTGCTTAAGCCGGTGCTAGGAGGCGTGGACGGTAACTTGCACTTTCCAGTACCGTCCATGAACAGTCTCAATCAAACCAAGCCTGCAAGATTTTCAATTTTGCCGTGTTGGGCTTTCTTTAGGGATTCTGTATTTATCTATTTCACAGGTGGATAGATCTTACTCAGGAGGTGTGCAGTGCATAAGAGTGATAACTCTACCCTTCATATTTTTTGAGTTATTGCCCTTTGTTACTTTTCATACTAAATTTTTCACCAGAGTGGAGCATAACCCAAAAAAATATTTGAGATGTCAACATGAAACTTCATAGGTGGATAGATCTTATTAAGGAGGAATGTTGTGCACATAAATGATAACTTTATCCATCATAATTTTTGAGTTATTGTCCTCTGTTATTTTTCATACTGCAACATTTTCAATTTTGTCATGTTGGGCTTTCTTTAGGGATTCTGTATTTATCTATTTTATGATCACATCCGTGTTATGTGTGCCGTGTGGCGGCTGTAAAAAAACTCCCCGTACATTTAATCAATGATGTTACATTTTCGATACTTGAAGATCGTTCATCACGACATTATTGTTGTGCTTGTGGTATTTTTAGTTTCAACTTTTCGGCATTTTCTAGTTGGGTGGTTCCAATATTCCTACTTGAATAATGTTGAATCACCCTAAGGATATGTTGCCTGCTTTTTATATTTGTCTTTTGACGTCTTATCTGTGATATGCAGGCTTCATAACCTCTGATCCCCTTTCAAAATTCCATTTTATTTAGTTTCGCCCATTGTTTTCTCGTTTAGGGCACACGCTTTCTATTACTTGGGGACCATACGCCGCTTTTCATGGAAGTGTCATGTTGAAGGTTCCATGATAACCGCCGTATTAATACATCTGCGGATGTTTCTAAATTCAAAATTTCATCATTTCATGTTTAAATGTTGAATTCTGCTTAAGCCGGTGCTAGGGGGCGTGGACGGTAACTTGCACTTTCCAGTACCGTCCATGAACAGGCTCAATCAAACAGAGCCTGCAACATTTTCAATTTTGTCAAGTTGGGCTTTCTTTAGGGATTCTGTATTTATCTATTTCATAACTACAAAAGCCTTTGAGATATCAACATGAAACTTCATAGGTAGATAGATCTCACTCATGAGGTGTGCAGTGCAAAAGAGTGATAACTCTATCCTTCATAGTTTTTGAGTTATTGTCCTTTGTATTTTTTCATACTTAATTTTTCACCTGAGAGGAGCATAACTCAAAAGGTCTTTGAGATGTCAACACGAAACTTCATTGTTGGATTGATCTTATTGAGGAGGAATGTTGTGCGCAAGAATGATACCCTTTATAATTTTTGAGTTAATATTTGTTATTTTTCAAACTTTTTGTCCGGAGCTTATCTCAAACAGTGTTAGAGGTATCAACGTGAAACTTCATAGGTGGATAGATCTCATTGAGGAGGAGTGCGGCACACAAGACTTTTAACCTACCGTGCATTATTATTCAGGTATTGCCCTTTGTTACTTTTCATACTTAATTTTTGTCCAGAGTATAACTACATATGTGGATAGATCTCACTCAAGAGGTACATGTATACAGTACACAAGAATGATAAATTATTCTGCTCTACTACATATACATGGCTCTTGTAACAAGTTACACTATAATACTTTAAAACCTTCTTAACAAGTTAACCTGTCAATTCAACACAATGCTATTTGGAGATACCTTAACATTATACTTAACTGTTTGTTTGTTTTTGTATTTTTTCTTGTTTTTCGCCGTGACAATCACATTGCTGCATTTCCCAGCAATTTTTTACTTGTCTGTTTGATTGACAAGAATGCGTAACATAGAAGTATTAAAAAACAACAAATGAAATGCATCATATGTTGTGGTGATTCTGTATCAAATATGTTTTTAGAAAAACAAAAGATCTATATCATATGTTGAGGTTGTTCTATATCTAACTTTGAAGGAGGAGATATATGTTTTGGACTTGAGAAGATCCAGAATTCTTGAAAAAGATATTCATTATCATTGACAAATATAATGCAAATAGAGAAAATCAGAATCCTGAAAGAACGCCCGAACCGGCTAAACGAAACAAACTTTTCATTTCACAGGGTATATATAAATCTGTGACTATTTTGTAAAATTGATAAAATCAGTAAAGTAATATCTAGTAATGCAATTGGATGAAACGTTTGAAGCAACTTTTTGTTTAATAAAAAAATGATTTTTAAAGTGTTGTTCTGTAAAGAATGGGTGTAAAAGATGTAAAAAGATATCCCGTACTTCACTTCAGTGTAACAGTTGTTATATTTTTAAGGACTTGTTTCCAGCACTTAAAAGATTTGACAATATAGCTCCGCTCAAGTCTGTGCTAGGCCTACGGTATGTAATGAATGAATGTAGCAATTTTCATTATCCCACATTTACAGACTATATCACACCAAGTCTGCAATTATCATGTTTTGTTGTTGTATTAATGCTTAAGAGAGATCACACTTTATTCAGGTTTTTGGAAAGCTGCAAAAGTCAACACATGTTGTCTGTATGTATATGTATGTGAGTAAAATGGTAAAAAAACGTAAAGAAACAGTATTAAATTAATTACCAGGTGATAGATATAGTCAGGGAAACAAAAATGCTGTTGAATGAATCAGTTTGACAATTATTATACTACAACTGATATTTCATCTTTAGTGTGTTTATGCTACAATAAATTAATGGTTACAACTAATATTAAAGTAGTGGGAAGAAAATGATTAAGTGTTCCTGACAAATTACGATTACGCCAGGTATTTTAGATTCCTTAGTGAGTTTTGTGAACAGATGTTATACATCAGTGGAATATTCAAGTATGTCAGAATTATTCCATTTTCTATATGACATACATGTCCTCCTCAGTAAAAGTATAATAATAATTGAATCAAACAATATATAAATATGTGTTGCTGTTGCCTAAAGAAACGGTCACAGACCTTTGTCTTAATCAATATTCATTGAATCATGGTAATGCTTACGTCAACATAATATTGATTTTTTTTTATCATGCAAACTGTTTTATTTACGGAATGATTAATAATCAAACTATTCCAGTATATGTTCCTCTTTCAAGGACAAATTAAACTATTTTGTTTGCTATATACACGTATTTAAATGTTATGAAAAGAAGCTGGGGCCCGTCTTATCAACGGTCGTACGACCGTTTTTATCGTACGATTGTCGTACGTCGATCGTACGATTTTGGCGGTGTCTTATCAAACGTCGCAGATTTTCATAATCGTACGATTATCCTAAGATCATGCATTTTTTCTGCGATCGCTGAGAAGCAGTCGCAGATCAAACAAAATGACCGCCTTACTACTGGTAAACGAACGCCGCCGACGAAAATCACGCTGTTTTCGGCAACGAACGGTTCACATTGATGATTTAACCGATCGAGAAGTCATTTCCCGATACAGGCTCAATAAAGCAGCGATTAAAGAGTTGGAGGAGCTCTGTCGTGCTGATCTTTCCCCTAAAACGGGCGAAATTATGGAACGCGTTACCACCTGACATTAGAGACTGTAATACCTTGCCATGTTTTAAGAGACCTCTCAAAACACATTATTTCATAAAGTTCTATGGACGTTAGTTTCATAAATCATCATACATGTACTACTTTTGCTATATTATCAGTGTAAACCTTAATTGATCTGTTTTGTTATGAAATGTAAACACTGTTCATTTTACATTTAATGGCTGGCAATATCAACAGTTGCAGAAGTTACGAGAAATCAGTAATAAACAGATAAAGGATTCATAATTTATGACATAGCACTCGTCCATGTCGTCTATTATTAAAGGTGACAAGTAGGCCCTATAGCACTAGTAGGTAAGAATAATTATTGACATGATAGCTAATAAGTTCTGAGTTTCACAGCCCATTGAATAGAAATGTCATATTTTAGGTATGTATAATAAAAGCCAACAATTGTTATTTTTCTTTTTTACTTTATTTTTTTTTTATGTGAACAATGAATAGAGCTACTGTATGATTTTTCAGGTTCTCATAGGACTGAGATTCCTAGCAAAGGGGGATTTTCTGTCGGAAGTTTCAGACTTGCATGGTGTATCAAAAGCGTCAGGGGCAGTTATTGTGGACGAGTTTATTTCTAGTGTCAATGCTAGATTGAACAACATCAGGTAATAATATTATATCATTACTGTAGTCATTATTAATACTAATGCAAGTAACGACAGTAAGATGTATTTCATCATACAACAAGATAACATGTTGCTTAACATTAAAAGTTGAAAACACAGACAGAAGATCAATGAATTTATATACATGTCACAGGGTGTGAAAAGTGCGACCTGACCAAGACTCGAACCTGGGACCGTTCCCCGGCTCTATGGTCTACCTACTGAGCTGTTGGGCAGATAACACATGTTCTCCCCTTATTAGTGAACTGTTCTGAAAAGTGACATGCTTCCCCAATATATAGAAATTCATCCTTGAATTTCACAGAGTTTCAGAGCAATGTGAATTAAACTCTGAGCTATATTCATTCACAGTCCCTCGTTGGGCGCCAAATGTCACAGGGTGAGTAAAATGTGCAGTCTGACCGGGACTCGAACCATGGACCCTCAGAATATTGTTCCAATAACTGAGACCCCATTCAAGGTAATTCAATACTTTGGAAACAACAAGCAATTATTTGCAGACAACACAGAAAAGGTTGGAAAGTTCTATTTCTTTGATAAAATCATCTTAAAATTTCATACTGGTACTGGTTGGGGACCACCAAAACCGGACAACCACCAAACCCGGACGGACCCGAAAATGCTTAATTTAGTATTTTCTTTGTTCAGTGGTTGTCAGTCACTTTTTCATTAACAATAAATGCACATTTCTTCTAAAAATAAAATTAAGTAAATAAATTTATTTCAACCTCCGTAAATGGTAATATTTTAATGTCTATTTCTACAATGTTGACGTTGAAATTTGGGGGGTCAAGAAAGCATTACCTGACCTCATATACCAGCTATAATCATTTGCAGAGTAAACAATAGAATATCCAAAACTTCAGCATTTGTTGCTGAAATATTGTATATCATGTTAAAAATCTAAAATCAAAACACCCAAGCTTTTATCTGAATTAAATCGCGTGATGTACATATTTGTCCGGACATATGGTACTGTAGTGTAGACAATTTAGGTAATTTTGATACCCTCCTTGTCAAGCCTCAGATATAAGTGTCAATACAATCAGAAATAAACAAACTAGTTTGTTAGTTAGGAGAAGAACCTAGCTGAACTGTGTCAAATTTTAAGGTCTCTAGGTTAAAAATTATTAAATCAGTACGGAAAAATGTTCAAAAAGTGTCCGGTTGATGGTCCCTGACCAGTACTGAATTATATTCAATATATAAAAGCCCAAATAACTGCTATATATATGAAATTTTGAATAAAAGTGAGAAAAGGTGTTACATTTAGACCTACATTGCCCAATGATGTAGGAAAGTAAAAGAACAGTATTATAAACATGATGATGCTTTGTTAGAACTGTCAAAGTTTAATACTCGTCCATAGCCAGATTAGTATTTTTTTTTTTGTTTAAAAATGTGATTTTGGGCCCCGGAAACTGCCAGGAAACCAGTATGGTATTATAAATATTGTAATCATGCTGGTATTCATTCAGAATTTTATTTTATTTTCTCTCAATGATAGAAAGGATGTTTGCAGTATTGAAAATTCTTTATAAAAATTGTTGACATATTGAATGGCCAAATATAAACATTTGTTTAGAATATAACCTTTGCGGCTTGGTTATATATTCAAGCATATATAGGGTCATATAACCTGTCAAAATCTTAACAGCTAATAATATATAACCTTTCAAATATTTTACATGTAAAACTAAGTGGGATTCCAGCAAACAATCTACATATTTTATCACAACTTAATTCATATAAAAGTTTGTGCTGTTTATCAGCACAAGTGTTTTAGTTTCCATGTCACAACAGAATAAATGTTAATTTTTATCAGGTTTCCAACAGACAGAAATGACATCATTCAGTTGAAGAGAACTTTTTATCAAAAGTCTAGGATCCCTAACGTGATTGGTATTTTAAACATTCTTAACCATTTAAATTTTATGATTATAATACTGCAAGTTTGGAATGTTGCTTTTCATTATATACACAGCTGCTGTCAATTCATGGATCATATTTCATTTTACCAAACGAATGACATTTGCTGACTTATTGATTGTTGCCATGTTATAGTGCAGCATATAAATGGTTGTTTACAATATAACCATCACCTAGTGGCTCAATATATATCAGGCCTTATAACCTGTGAAAATCTTAATAACTAATTGTATACATGCCACTATTTCAGCTGAAATATTACTTGTGAAGCATTTTCATTCAACAATTACACAAATTCTTATGTGAGGTCTATTTCAAAGAAAACACATGAGTTTCATGACTTTTTTTGTTCTGTTTTTTATTGCTAATATATCAGTTTGATTTTTTTTACAATTTTTGTAAATTTGTGCAGGAGCAGTAGATTGGACATTGATTCCTATTGAAGCCCCAAAAGAAAATGAAGCTGCATATGTATGCAGAAAAAATTTCCATGCACTTAATGTGCAAGCTGTTTGTGACACAGATATGAGGTACTAAAATACATATCTATTCATTGTTAACAATCACCATTGTATTTATTGCTAAGCTTAAGAAACCTAAACTTAATTGCATGTTGCCTTGTACAAATATAGATATACAAATTGATTATTTTACATACTAAAGAATAAGGAAAAAGGGAAATGATTTCTATTTGTAAACATGTTTGAAAAAATTATTATGATTAATTAAAAAGGATAATATAGAATAATATATGTCCTTTTTCAGATTTACAGACGTTGTGGCAATGTGGCCAGGGTCACAGCATGCCTCAGCATTATTTGATGCATGTGGTTTGAAGGTAATCCTTTCAAGTATATAACACTAGTAGAAATGTGTGCTCTCTACATATAACAAATATCATCTCAACCAGGATAATAAACTAACTGTTGCAGTTCCAAACATTGCAGACATTGTACCTTTGAAGCTCTATTTAGCTCTTTTAGATCATTTTACTCCATACTTAATGTGGTCACTAACTTTACATAGAAATGCATATACACAAAGACTACATAAATGTATATGCTTTGCAGAATTGCCAAAATTGGCCTCTTTATAAGGTCAAAAAATGTCTAAATAAAATATTTCTCCTTTGAAAATAATTTACTTTTTTTTCTATCAATACATCATCTTGAGCAATTGAAGAAGGAGATTATGGCCATTTTCAATAACTGTTTGTTACTTGTGGTTGCTCATTTAATTTTACAGGATTATCTTGAAAGGACAGGTGCTGGGATGCTGCTGGGAGATAGTGGGTATCCTTTAAGGAGGTACCTACTAACTCCGAAGTTGAATCCCACTACACAACAAGAGGAGGAATTCAACAAGTACCACAGTAGGGGCAGAATGGTTATTGAAAGGGCTTTCGGCTTGTTGAAGTCACGGTTTCGGTAATACTTGGTATTATTATTACTTTTTCAGTGCTACTATTCAGAGAATATCTTTGTACCCCGGCCAAGGGAGTCACTATCAGCGTGACCACTTATGTGAAAGTATATGTAACATCTCAAATGTTTGTCATTGTCCATTTACATATGGCCTTGAAAGTTTGTATCAAACATTTTGACAGATTTATACCACTTTTTTAATTTTTTTTTTTTAAGGAATGGATATTCCTCTTTTCTTGCCTATCAGACAGGATTCTGTTCTGAAAATAATTGATATGAGCCTTGTTACCGCCGTAAACAGTTACCCTTGAGCTAGATATTCAGGTTTGTACCGGCATCCAGTGTAAGATCAGTATACGTTTATTCCATCATTATCCAGTTTATTGCTATACTATCAAGCACTAAGAAAAGTCAAGCGTGCTGTCCTTTTGACAGCTCTGGTTTTTCAGTATGATCAATACTAGAAAATTAATATGTCATCAGAATGAAGTGTTACATCACAAATCATTGCAACTCAATCTAACAGATAAGCTGACATGAATTTCTGTGAAAAATTAATTTATTGGTGCCTAGAAATCATTTAAAACATGAAATCATGTTTTAATGCACATTTCAATGTAGGAATTGTTAACCTAACAGACAACATGCATAGTGAAAGCTATTTTAAATGTATTTTACAGTTGCCTACACAGGACTGGTGGTGTACTTCAATTCAAGCCAGGAAAGTGTGGCAAAGTTGTGCTGGCTTGCATGAGGCTCCACAACTTATGCGTTAATCGAGGAGTGCCAGAACCTCAAGGTGTTAGACCAGAGGCAACAGAAAGCACCCCATACATCCTTGATAACCCAGGAAGTGAAGATGGGAATTTAAGAGATCAAATTGTTAGATTGTTTTAAAGTGTATTGGTCTACAATGTGCAAATTGCCCATGCTTTTTAAAGATATTTTACCCCAGACTTTGATTTTATTGCTCAATGACATCACTGTTTGGAGTTTGGATGCGAGGAATTATATCACGAGGGTGTAGCCTGGGTGATATAATGATGCACATCTGGATGACAAACTGTGTTTTATCAAGCGATAAAATCACCAATTTGGATATCTTATTTCAATTCTAACACAACATCAACAAATAAATGTGCAGTTCCTGAGATTAAGCAAAATTGCCCCTGATTTGTTTCCGTACTTCTTTTCAGAGTGTCGGATTTTTAGCTCGACTATACGATGTATCTTGAGATCTGTCCTACTCGCCCTGGCGTGGGCGTCCAGATTTCGGATTAAAGTTTTGGTGCAGTAAAATATTTTTTACTATAACCTTTTCATTTCTTAAGGTATTAACTTCAAATATATGTTCCTTATCATCAACCACATCTTATGTGACATGGTTCATAACTTTAGCACCAATATTGTCAGTTTAATCTCCCTTTGAACTTAGAATTTTCCTTAAACAATATTATTTTTTACTGTTATTTCTTTATTTTTTTACGGTAATTAAAGGATCAACTTCATACTTCAAATGTTTATTCCTTATCATTAACCACATATATGTGACAAGATTTATAACTCTAGCAGCAATATTGCAAGAATTATCTCCCCATTAACATAGATTTTTACTTGAAAAATGTTATTTTTAGCTCGACTATTCGATAAGAATAAGTAGAGCTATTGCAGTCACCCGGGCGTCGGCGTCGGCGTCCGCGTCGGCGTCGGCGTAACCACTTATGTTAAAGTTTTTGTAATAGTTCAAATATTTTCAAAGTCCATAGACATATGGCTTTGAAACTTTGCACACTTGTTCACCATCATAACCCCAACCTGTAGACAGGAGGAGGTAACTCTATCAAGCATTTTGACAGAATTATGCCCCTTTTTCGACTTAGAATTTACGTTAAAGTTTTTTGTAATAGTTCAAATATTTTCAAAGTCCATTGACATATGGCTTTGAAACTTTGCACACTTGTTCACCATCATGACCCAAACCTGTAGACAAGAGGAGAAAACTCTATCAAGCATTTTGACAGAATTATGCCCCTTTTTCGACTTAGAATTTACGTTAAAGTTTTTTGTAATAGTTCAAATATTTTTCCAAGTCCATTAACATATGGCTTTGAAACTTTGCACACTTGTTCAACATCATGACCCCAACCTGTAAACAGGAGGAGGTAACTCTATCAAGCATTTTGACAGAATTATGCCCCTTTTTCGACTTAGAATTTACGTTAAAGTTTTTGTAATAGTTCAAATATTTTCAAAGTCCATTGACATATGGCTTTGAAACTTTGCACACTTGTTCACCATCATGACCCCAACCTGTAAACAGGAGGAGGTAACTGTATCAAGCATTTTATTTACTATCAAGCACTAAGAATAGTCGAGCGTTGCTGTCCTACCGACAGCTCTTGTTTACTATAACCTCTTTAGTTTTAAAGGTATCTGCATCAAACTTCAAATATACATTCCTTATCATCAAGCAGATCTTATGTGACAATGTTCATAACTCTTGAAGCAATATTTTCATATTTATCACCCTTTTAACTTAGATTTTTTTTCAAGAAATATTATAACTTCTTTACCTTTTAAGGTATCTTCTTCGAACTTCAAATATATAATTCTTATCATTACACACATGTTGTCTGACAATGTCCATAACTCTAGTGTGACTATTTCCAGAATTGTTCCTCCTTGAACTTTGAATTTATATTAACAACTATAACTTCATGTCATAAGAAAAATATTTTTATTTCATAATTGGTTTAATTCTAATATTATTTATCAGGTATACTAAATTAATATCAACATAATAATTCATGGTATTACAGAACATTCATTATAGACCAATACATTTTAATGAATGTAAATGTATTTATGGAGGATATTAGTTTGTTTATTTCTTTGTTTTTCCATATCTCACTGACTGAACACCAGATGTAATATTTTCATGTTTGGCAAGAAAAACAGCGCATAATTTAATTTCAGTTATCTGTGTCAGATACTATTGGCAAGGGGTAATTTTAAAAAGTCTTTATGTCTTCATTTTTAATGAAGCTGATAAGGTTTTAGATATCACATATAGTTTTATCTTGTAAGAAAGTTTAGCATATATACTAACAACTGAATTGAAATCAAAGTTATGAAAATTAAAAAAGAAAAAAACCTTAAAAGTTTGATTCAGTCTTAACTCCTTCGAGTCCCTATTGGGATCCTACATATTACCGGACAAAATATGAAGTTTTTTATCTAGCTTTTATTTAAAATAATAAAAAGTAAAGAACAGGTCTAGCACTACTATAAAACCTGTTCGCTGAAGTATCTTGAGCTAACAGTTATTATATAATTAAAAGGAAACACTTTTTTTCTTCCATTAGGGATCTGAGAGATTAATAATAAAATTTTAAAAGAAAAAAAAAGACAGAAAAAAATTACCCTTCTGGGGATTGAACCCACGGCCCTCATTTTCAATGTAGTTAACAGTAGTTCTAGCCTATTTGAATACTCTTCAAAGCGGAGGTAATGCATTAGGATGGTAATACCTTAAGTTAAAATATGTTTAGGAAATAATATCAGTCTTTTCAATTTAACAGGATAATTTGTTTACTAATTTCTCAAAATTTGCATTTAAAGTTTTCATATTTTCATTTAAAGATGAAACTTGGGCAACTAAATCCCTCATCACAGCAGTTTGCTGTATTACTAGTTCTTCAACACGATGACCTGGAATCAAATAAAGAATATATTTACAACCCTTAAATCAATACAATCTATTTCCTTTGTAAATACCATTTGTTTTCATTATGTATTAATTATAATTTCAAAGATTTTTGTTCCGTCATTGGCATAGCAGAAAATTAAATGTTTTTCTGATAATAGACAATCTTGTTCGATAAAATTTATTTGTCGCCTACAGTCATAATATTTTGAAAATGTGACTTTATCAAAACTGAGATAAACTGCCATCCTACATTAAATGAAAATATGATCTATATGAATGAAGAATGTTGAAGCTTTAAATTGTTCGAGCAGTAAAGTACTTGTGGAAAAGCTCCATTTTTGCAGGAAAAAACTTTGATTACAATCATAACTGTTAGATAAATAGATAACTAGATGATATTTATGATGGTCATTGTTTTTAATTAATTACATGTATCATACTCACTTTCATCTCTAGATGTGTTTGCTTCTAGTACACTCTTTCTTGCTGAAGCATCTGAAATTTATATTACAATGTATAATAAGCAAGTGATTATCTATATGATAAGTTAAAGTTTACTCATAGTTAACATGAGAATAATAGTTGCATAAAAGAAATCATTGATTGTAAAAAGAATGATACTTACTATCATATTTTGCCCTCTTGAGTAAAGGTTCACTGTCCTCTATTGTGGACCCTAAAATATATAATGTACACATTTTATGGAACAATGGATTCTGTTTCATGTAGAGTCTTTTATAGCAAACATACTGTCTGCTTCAAAGTTCATATTTTAATGAGAAGGTTTATTATGTAAAAAGTTTGGTGCCATTGATGACATGTGACCAATGTAGTTGTATATTGTAAATATGTTGCCACATGACCTAATTGCTTTATGAAATGAAGATACATTTATAGACATTCAAGATATAGTATGTAATGACTTTAGTCCAATGAGCTTAAAGGTGTTGATCCTGACTGTAATATTGATATTTTATTGACATGTCTGTCTCATTAAATATATATTATTGAAACACAAAAATTGTATTATTGTTTTTATTTAGCAATTTAAATTACATAATTATACATACATTCAATCTCATCACTTGTACTTGTACCAACAGGAAGATCTGGGATGTGTTGGTTATTGGTAGGGTCATTATTTTCTGAAAGATATGCATTATATACAGTATATTATCAATGGTGAAAGGTGTGTTTATATATAAAGGATTACTATATTTAAACTAATACATGTTATGCTTAATGTGGGAAAATCACATCTTTACAAAATCAATTTCACCACTTTGAAGTTGGCATTGATTTAAATAATATTGGACAGCACAAAGCATTATATTTAAACAAGCCAGTTACCATAAAATGTATCCGTTCCATTTTCAATTCCCTCCACACTGCATCTGGGAATTGTCTGTAATACCTGCATCCAGAAAATATATTAATTAATTCATATAAATCTCAACTTCTATCCATAATTTCAAGCCTGGGTTAACTGTATATAAAGTATAATAATAGTGATTGCTATTTTGAATTTGATTGTGCATATATGAATTGGCGTGTCATTCATGTTGCTCATACAACTCTGTCTTTTTTTCCTACAGGTGTTTTGCATTTCTTAGTGGCCAAAACCAATTAATTCGATTGGCTTGTCCTATTCCTTTCTGATATTTTACAAGCATTCAGTAGTACCAATGAAACATATTTAACAAATAAAACATGGCCTTGAGGGCAATATGCAAGTTTATGGACTGATTGGTCAGACTGAGGAAGGTATATATCCCGAAGCGCAGCTGACAATAAATTCTGTAAAAAGAATCATTTAACAACAAAATAAAATATTATACCTCATTTGCATACGTACTTTCTATATTTAGTATGACGTCATCCAGTTCTTATAAGAATTATGGACCGCCCCCGGTCTGCATGCGGTTTAAGGACTTGATGATGTCATATTAAATTTGAAAATGAGGTATAATATAATACTATAAATGCCATTAACATGAAGGAAATTAATGTTGTCTGTTGAAGTTTTATAAAATTCTGTAATCAGAATACTACCTTGCTCTCCCAGTGGTCCAGCTCAAGAATTGGGGCAGGTCCACCACCAGTCTTCCTCATTTCCTGCAAGTGTTTTATGCTTTTTTTCTTTGTCTGAGACTGAAATGACATTTAATCATTTGATATATCATGAGTGAACTGAATGTTATTTTTATGAAACTAAAATAACAAACATTTTAATCCTGTTTAAATGGGGAAAAAAATATGGAAGTACAAAATGAAACAGTAGTTCTGAAATAAGTTGAAATTAATTCAAATGTTATAGGGTAAGAAAACCAACTTACTTTAAGGTCAACCCATTTTTTTTTCACCTGTTCAACTGTCCGGCTACAGGCACTGACACTGTTCACACTAAAATAAATTAATGTATAATATTAATCATTACCTCTTATACCTCTTTTAAAGTTTTGCAGATTTGATAAAGGTAATTGACCTAATGTATGTACATGATTTGAGATTCAATTTCAGATTAATTCAAGTGAGCAAAATTTAGTAAAATTTGTAGCAAATAAAAAAGAATTGAACTTGGAAATTATGTTGTGTTAATTCATGTAGTTGGTATGTGAAGCATAGCTGTGAAAAGCTAAAACACTGTTACATTTTTTGGGGTTATTCGTTTTCTATATATTAATCTAAAACATAAACTTCTTGTCAGAATGGCAACACTACTAGTACTAGCCATGTTCAATTCCTTCCAAAATAGCCAAGAAATAGATCTTATTTTCTGATCCTTTTGAGGAAAGTATAAACTGATCCTTTTGAGGAAAGTATAAAACCAACATGCCATGATGGTCACCAGATATAAACAATTTATTTTTTCAATTTTATATTTCAAATGGCACTTTATTATGCCCTTAATGAGATAGACTACCCAAATCAGTTGCTGATAAGTTCATACTTTTTTTTTTATTTTTAAAGTAACTTAACAATTACTGAAATACACTGAAAATCTAAGACACATAAAATTCTTAATATAAATGTTAAATATGAAGGAAAGCTTGGCCTTGTTTTAGTTTGCAAATATGATAAAAATTAACGCTTACATTGACATATTAAATTACCATTCACATCTGTATTTTTTTCAGTATTTCTATGTACCACTAAAATTTAAAAACTGAACTTTATTTCCAGATCTTTTATAATATGTTTTGAAGCAGTTTCTGGAAACCAAATTTTGATGTTAACATAAAAATGCTTATAATATACCGATTTAAAAAAATAAACAGTGTCATCCTCCTACTATGCTGAACATACAGCCGCCTTCACCTTCCCCCTGCCCCCCACCCAAGAAAAATACATCAAATTAAATAAAGTTTTTTCTTTCACTTTTACAAACAATACTGTGCTGTTTTCCCAACCATTTGTGTATTCCATCTTTATTAATTGAATGTACAATAATCTGATTTTCTCTTTTGCTGAATAAAGTCTGTTTCCCCTGAGAAGGATCGAAAATAAATGTCAAAGTCGTAAAAATCATACCTTTCAGTCACATCGACCCAAAATCGGACCTTATCGGCGGGTGTGAGTGACGAGGAAAACTTTCCTGTCGCCACAGAAGCATCCTCACACTTGCTGATGAGCATATCTCGCTCATCAGCGGACCAGTTTACTTTTTTACCTTTTTCCATGTTCTTTGACATCTGAGAATTAAAGCAGACGTCGTCTTTCAAGTTTGACATTAAAATGCGCGTTACCTCCTTTTTTGAAGAGTACGTGTTAGTGCGCAGGCGTAAGAATCGTACGCTTATGAAAATTGTAAGATTTTAGGTTGAACGTACGACCGCGTTGATAAGACAGTCTTACGATCGAGCGTACGACAATCGTAGATCAAAATCGTACGCTAAGATTTCCAAAATCGTACGATCGTTGATAAGACGGGCCCCTGTTTCCTGTGCAAGTTTATTGAACTGCGCAGAGAAAACAAATATGCATTTATGCGTAAGACGATCTGTTAAATTAGCAATCGAATTCTACTTTACGATGCGTATTTATTATATGATTTTTTCATCTTCTTAGGGCATAAATATTGATAAACAGGTAAAAAAATCATAATATTGTGTGCACCAATCCCATTAAAATTACACATTCATACGTTGAATCGCATTTGATGTTTTAGACGTTTTATACATCGGGATTTTTAATAAGACGCATGATTTACTGTGGAATGATAGATTTTTTTTGCAAGTCGTCCATAAAAACTCAAGGACATAAAAACATTCACATACATAAGGACCAAATTTAAATCTCGCTTTGTTGCACAACATTTAAATCACATTTTCTTCAGATGGAAATACAATGTTTTCTTATCCCCGTATGCAAACGGTCTGTATTTTAAAACCGAGATTTAATAACGTGAAAACAGGCTTAATTAAATCATTGGTAAACACGTTGTCCCTACCTAAAGGGTAACTGTTCTGCATTTGGATGGTGTAGGAGCTGTAGCATTACACTGATGTAAAACATCTGAAATTTTAACATATCCATTTGTTGACTTTTAGAAACTAGGAATTAAGTTTGTCTTGAAGACATGTATCTTTTAAAGTTTAGATATTGCTGTGCGGACATAGTTCTGGTTTCAAAAACTAAATAATCGCCATGTATTATTAATTAAGCCCTGTATTATTAATTAAGCAAGGTCACACATGTGCCGTTTTACTTTGGTTAAATATGGTGACGGGTCTGATGCCTTTTATGTCTTATAAACTAAGTGTATGCTCATAATTGATGTTTTTTTCGTTGGTCAGTTGATTATAAAAAAGTTTTTATATCGTTTAATCGGGAAATAATTAATTAACGTTTAAGGCATTATGATAAGCCATCACGAGCAACACTGTCAATATATAAATAAGACACAATGTGTCGGATTGTTAGCACATTACGACATTGATTTTAGCGTACCCAACTGCGCAGATCTAAACAGACATTCGTCTAGGTAGCATTTTATTCGGCTCTTCTAAAGGTATGTAGTGAACAACTGACCATTCCTTTGCAGCTATTTTACGCCCGCGTAAACTCTCGCTTGTATTTTCTTTATATATATTTTCTGAAAAGTTTTTTTCAGCTAAAATTCGGGAATCAACGTCTTAGGTTACTGAGGATTCTGTGTGTCTGTCTAAGTCACACAATCCTGACTCTTTGTCCACTACGACCATATTTAGTACAAATCAATGTTTTTAAATAAAGTAAGCAGACATAACAATCTTTATTTTGTTTTAAGAAGGTTCTTAAGTATTATTTTAGTTTTAAAATATTTTTTCTCAAATTGTATTTAGTTCATACTTTCAGTGTCAAACATGCACAACTTATATTAAATTAGACGGTTTCATTTTTATGTTTTTTGTTTTTGTTTTGTTTTTTACTGAAAACACTTTTATTTTGAAACAACCTTATTCTATTAAAAATTGTTATAGCACTCGTCGATCTTTGTCTCTGTATAATTAAAGGGATACCGTTCTTTAACAAAATGACCCACTTATTTTGACTCCAAGACAGTGTTTGAATAGCCAAGCGTGAAGCATTTCAAAAAATAAGATGTTATCTTTCTTGTCACATTTTCTTTATAGATCACATAACAAAACGTGTTCATTCAACTTTTTATTGCATTACCATATGTTGTTGACGTCATATATAGTAATGCGATCATCTCCAGATAATAAGAAAGTCAAATTACATAAAACACGACAACAATGTAAAAATCATTGTAAAGTTATTGTACTCTTTCGTTGTAACATAAGTGTATTCTGATCAAATACGCAATATTTATCATATTTTCTTTAAAATTACTGAAATGATATTTAATGAACCGACAACATTCGTTATTGAACGCTCTTTTTGCCACTGCAGATATTTTATTACAGTATGACATTTTGAATATCTGATGCCCTAGTACTTTATTGCAAGTATTAAAGTTTGCCTGAATATATAAACGCAATTCTACCTAGAACAAAAAGAAACTAAAAAATAAATATAGCTAAACGTATCATGTAAAATGTAGTAAGTATTCTACTTAGATGTCTGAAAATAGCATATGACGAGAAATGTATTCGTTGAAATGGTTTTGCTGCTATAATTCACATATATCACATGATATATATACAGTCGGCATCGTACTTGCGGCCACCTTTATTAAGCGACTTTTTTATTAAGCGGTCGCATAAAATCCCTCCCGATGATTTTTACTATTTAATTTAATTCCATTAAACGACTATTTTATATCGCGGCCAGCGGCCACTGAATGTCAGCCATGTACAAAATTAAGTGTTAAAGTATCTATTAAACGGCCGTGACAAACAATCGTCCCTGCGGGCATTCTCACCTGTGTAATTAGCGAGTAGGTTAGATGTGTACAAGCAAACAAACAAATAATTTTCATGGTCATTGGTCACAAATAATTGTCGTTTAAAAACGAAATGAATAACAATTGCAATCGTTTCAAAATCGGATTTTCCGATCGTAATATTTATTGTGACATATTTTGTCAGAGCAATAACGTATCACAACACCGAGTTTGCATAGTTTTGTCATGTGCTGAGAGTGACCTCCCTTATCGAAAATGATGTCGGATCGAGCGAAAAAAAGACAGACAACTAATAAGACCGGATAAATTGTATGAGGAAATCATGCATGGAATTGAGTCTGGGTAAATAGCAAATGTCATCGATTGTAGTCGAAATAAAATCGTGAAACCTAGTAGACTAAACATTACAGAGCCGAGCCTTTCATTGCTGATGGTGTAGGTGCTCACCTGATGCTTTAGAAAATACATGTAGTATCCCATTAAATATGACCCTTCGACAAAAAAAAGGCAAAAAAAATCCTAGATCTCTAAAAATCTTATTGAATTTGCAATCGGGGTAGTGTGAAAACTAATTGTTGAAAAAATCAAGAAGTTTATTAAAACTCATTGCATAAATAATTATCTGGATCTCTGGCTGATGATTCTAAAGTATGTTCAGCAGGAGATGTGTATGAACATATTAAAAATATAAGACAATATGTTTTGTATCATGGTCAAAATGACCTGTTTACAGTATTATGAGCGTAAAACACATTTGTACACAAATTTCTACTAAAAATCAAAAACAAACAATATTGATGACTTTTTTTTTAAAAAAGGGCATAAATGTAATTATAAAACGGTAATACATACATAATATTGTATAGTTTTTGTTTTTATAAAAAAGATGTTATTATATCTATGACTTGTAATAAAAAGTCTCGAATTTTCCAGAATTCTATTGAGAGACCACTTTATTAAGAGACCACTTTTTGGCAGTCCCTTGAGTGGTCTCTTAATACAATGTCGACTGTATATATCTATTTTCCGAGGAGAATTTGTATTAATCTTTTGTTTCACCATCTGTAACTGATATTTTGATTTGATTTTTATTGTACGGTTATAAACGTGTCGTCATAAATGTAAAAACAAAATGAAACCAAAAAACTTTATTTTTTATGTTTTGCTTTATTACTATGATTTTAATTTGGTCAGTTTAGCTTTAAGTTAATAACGTGATGTAACTTAATCCCGTTAAATTATATTGGCATTAAGTACTATTTACTGGAAACTACCTTTGTCTTTAGATATCCTGTTAATTGTCTTATACAAATATTATGTAATCTGCACATGATTGAACTTAAAGATATGTTCGCGTAAAGACGACGATGATTTCCGAAATCTTTATAAATCGAAGCATCAGATGCACTTATGCTCCGTCACTTGAGGGAATAAAGATAAATGAACAAAACATCGTAAATGGAATAAAAAACCTTTTTACAAGGACCAGATAATGTATAATCATGTCATGATAAAAACAGGATATTTTCATAATCAAACAGATGAAAAGGTTCAGCATTGTGCTATAAAATAAAAGAAACAACACACATGTATAACTAATAAAAAAAATAATTGCCTTTGCTCAAAACTCACCAGATGGTTTCCTCATTAAACACGATTCTTTGGTTAATCTATATTTTTATACATGAACTTGGCAGACGATAAATATCAAATATAATAACACTTCTCACATTGGGACTCAAGTTTCTGAGGTTTTAGAAAGCTGGTACTTATGCATGCCTGTGTCCTTATTGTAAGGTTTAATTCATTTGATTTATGACAAAGTGCTTCAACTTCAACTTTGCCATGTAAAAATTGGCAAAATTTTTAACTCGTTATACAAAGAACCAACATCATCATGATGAAACATTCCTTGCAAATCAAAGGATTTGATCCCGAGACAATGTTTAAAGACAATTTAAGCTAAGAACAGTTGTTCTGAGGAACTGCATTTTTATGAAATGGCACGATCTGTCAGATGAAAGGTGATGTGAACAACGACATACGAGTACATTAGTGGATGTTTCTAGATTTTAGTGTAGAATAGCACTTAAACACGTGCCATGGACGCGGATAATAGCTAGAAATGGCTAGATATGCAGTTCAGGCTGTTCTTTTGGTATTAAATTTTACTTATAGTTCATCGTAATGGTTACATAATGTTTGTCTACGCCAATATATCAATTAATCAAAAAGCTTCTTATTTTGCATCTAACGTTTGCACTGAGCAAGTGGATATCTCATGCATTAAAATAATAATTCTTGTCTAATTTACTGATATTAATCATTGCAGCACGAATAATCTGCAATTAACAGGATGTGAATGATTTGTGACAGACAGCCGGAACATAAACAGCTATTTAGCATCTTGTTTAATCCATCAGTGAAACACAAGTATTTATTATTAACAGATTCGGTCTAACGCATTATCTTGATATAGTGCTCGTTTACTTGTATTGAGTATATAAATATGACTAGGGTACCGTACTATAAAGAAAAGCCAGAGTTGTTCTGATAAATAAATATATACAGACCGTTTATCATTAAATTATTTGT